AATCACTATGTTTAATGAACAATGAGTTATCTATACGAGAACTTTGAAACCCCAAGTCTACCAGAAAATTTTTCAGCTTGGAGTACCAATTCCTTGGTGCTTGCCTCAACCTATACAAGGCTTTCTGTAGCTTGCACACCAACCTTTTTCCATCTCCAGCCTGTTTTTCAAAGCCTTGAGGTTGTTCCATAAACACCTCTTCATTTAATTCGCCATTCAAAAATGCATTGTTAACGTCTACTTGCCTTAGACTCCAACCATTACGAGCTTCAATTGTCAACACAACATTTATTGTTGACATTTTTACGACAGGGCTTAACGTTTCTTGAAAATCCTGATCAGGCACTTGTGAGAATCCTTTAGCCACGAGTTTAGCTTTATATTTTTGTATTGAGCCATCATCATTACGCTTGATTCGAAACAGCCACTTACAGCCAACAACAGTCCTTTCTTCTGGTAGAGGGATAATCGACCATGTATTATTCATTTGAAGTGCTTTATATTCAGCACGAACAGCTGCCTTCCACAACGGATTCTTGAAAGCTTCATGAACATTTTGAGGTTCAACCTCACTTATATCGTTGCTATCCTGACATGCAGATTCACCAGTAATAGTTGAGGAGTACAACTTGGATTTGAACACTCTATTTTTGCTGCGTGTAACCATGTGGTGACGTGTAACTGGTAGTAACGTCTCATGCTGACCATGACTACTTTGACCATTATCGCTCGATCCTTCATTAGCCCGGTTCGACACAGAGGTACCTGCCTCACTTGAACTTTGTTGTTCAACCACATTCTTATCTTATTGTTCAATCTCATCTACTGCATTATTTCCTGACATTACAGGCTATACATCTACTTTATGACCAGCAACTTCAGGCAGATTCATATTGCTAAAGGAGTTGGACCCTGACACATCAGCACTGGTCACAGGGTAATCACCGTGTGATTCTCCTCTCATGAAGACACGTTGAGCACCATTTACTATAGGAAATTGTACACCACTCATACGTAACGTACACTTGCATCCAGTCTTGCTGCCTGATGTTGCAAAGGGAAAGAATTCTTCATCAAAAGTAACATGGCGTGAAATAAACAGTCGACCGTCCGAGTCCATACATTGGTAACCTTTGTGCTGAGTATTGTATCCCAAGAACACGCACTGAGAGGATCGATAGGTAAGTTTGTGAGCATTATATGGCCGTAAATGGGGAAAGCAACGACAACAAAAAATTTTAAGATAACTATAGTATGGTTTCTTGGAGTACAACACCTCATATGGGGATTTGTTTTGAAGAAATTTTGTAGGCAATCGATTGATGAGGTGCACAGCAGTGCATACTGCATATGACCAGAACTTAAATGGAATTGAAGTTTGATCCATAAGAACCAGTGCTGACTCAATTATGTGTCTGTGCTTTCGCTCGACCATCCCTTTTTGCTCGGACGTATGTGGACATGCTAGACGATGCACCACACCTAGTGACTTAAGCCAAGCGGAGACTGATCGATACTCACCTCCCCAATCGCTTTGAACTTCTTTTACAGTGGCATTGAATTGAGTTCGTATCAAACTGAAGAACAACTGGAAAGTTGGTAGAACCTGATCCTTGGTTTTAAGCAAGTAAACCCAACTATGTCTCGTGCACGCATCAACGAAAGAGACATAATACCTATATCTATTGGAGGTTATGTGTGATGGACCCTATACATCACTGAAAACTAGGTGAAACGGCGTGGTATATACTGTTTGAGATTGATTGAATGGCAGTTTATGGCTTTTACCCAATCTACATACAATGCATAACGAATTGCCAACCATATTATTTCTAGAAGAAAGCATTACACCAACTTGTTTACATGCTTGCACAAGAACAAGATGAGCAGGATGCCCAAGCCTCTTGTGCCATAGATCATACTTTTTATTGCTACTACAAGAATCTTCTACCATCATGGCATGACAAGCTTCCAAGCATTCTGCATTTGTTATGAACTGATAAAGGCCTGCATGCTCTTGTCCTTTTAGCAACACCACTTTAGTCACTTCATCCTTAACCAAGCACGACCCCGCATGAAACTCAAAGAACACCTTATTATCTCTAGAAAACTTTGACATAGAAAGAAGGTTTTTGGTTACTGAGGGAACATGCAATAAATCATTAAGAACCAGTGCACGAGAATTAGTAGTCATGGATGAAGAGCCAGCTCGAGCTATAGTTAGACTATGTCCATTACCAACTACCACCTTACCTGGTCCAGTATAATCCGAGCTAGTGGTAAGGTTCGAGGCATCAAGAGTGATGTGATGAGTAGCCCCAGAGTCCACAATCCATCGACCATAATTTGTAGAGCCAGTGTGTGCTTGAGCATGCACACCACTTCTGCATGACTTACACTAATCTATAACAGTGTAATTTACTTCAGTACCATCACTTTTGTCAGCCAACACACCTAGAAACGTCTGATCGAAGCGATGCCAGCAACGATCGACCAAGTTTCCATTTTTTCCACACAGCTGACATTGTAACCGAGGACAGCCACGACCACGCCCTATAGGTTTGTTACTCCTGTTATAACTATCAGCGCCATTCCCGTTGTAGACCTACTATTTTCACGAGTGTTTGTACGAACAGTAGCTACATTCGCACTCATAGGAAGGGATTGTTGCAACTGAAAACCACTCAATTGTGACTCAGCATCCATTAAGACTGTTTTGACATTGTCAACAGAGAACATATCTTTGCTCGCAGTAATCACAGCCACAAATGGTTGATATTCAACCGAGAGACCATTTAGAATGGTAGCAATCTATTCAAGGTCCGAGATCGCACTCCCATACGCTACAAGCGCATCACACACTTCTTTAATCTTTGTAAGATATAGCCTCATGCTGTCATCACCTTTCTTAACAGATCTGAGTTTACAATGCAGACTCATCACAGTCATAGTCGACCGATTAGCAAAGAACTTCTGAACCGTTCGCCACACATCAGCTGTTGTCTCAGCTCCTACAAATTGAGGGAGCAAGGGATCACTGATTGTAGACAGCAACCAGGATGCAAGAGCACTATCCTGAGCAACATAGTTTTCATAGTCTTCATTCACAACACTAGCACCTGATTCATCAACAATTCGAGCAGGTGGTGGTAGTAACTCTCTATTGAGCAGTCTCTCTAATCTGTTACTGCGAACCGTGAGCAGTATTTGTTGTTTCCACAACAAGAAATTCACTTCATCTAACAAGATGTTGATCTTCTTATGTGTGAAGATCTTGCTGCTACGAGCAGCTTCCCCGAATTCAAAAGGCAATATTGCTACAATCGCCCATGAAAGCAGCAACCTCCAGGATCACAAGGCGGATGATACCATATTAGAATGAGTAAAGAAAGTTGAAAATCTTGAAGAAAGTTTCTTAACTTTTCATTAACAGTACATGGTTTATATACACATAGTAACTAACTTCACACAAGCTGGTAATCTGGTATAACAGAATACTAACAAACTAACTGCACTACATTACACATACACACATCATATTACTTCAACAGCTCATTCTAGATTCATTCTAGAACATTTACTTCAATATAAATTAATCTGCTGCTGTTTAGTTTTAGTCCACACAACACAAGTAACAACACAAGTAATCGTCCATGAAGAAGAAAATTTTCGAAAGTTGAAGAGAAATTATATTTCACAGGAAGATGAGAGCAACTTATAGGTGGCCAGTACTTTCCATCACTACAGTTTTGATTCTGTCTTCTCTTTCTCAGTGTTGTTATGCTAGAGATAATATTACAGTAAAAACTAGACTAACAGATAGAGAAACTCTCATTTCAGCTGGAAATAGATTTGAATTAGGGCTCTTTAGCCCATCAAACACCTTTAAGGTGAAGAGATATGTGGGGACACGGTACACCAACAATCTACTAATAGTTGTTTGGGTTGCTAATAGAAAGCATCCGATTTTGGATAGGACTGGAGAGTTATGCATTGTGGATGAAACACTGAAGTTATCTGATGCGAAAGGTAACACTTACTGGTCGGTTCCGTATGCTAATCGTTCGGACCTCGTGGTGAAGCTTAACGACGGCACTAACTTAGTTCTACTCGGTGAACTGTCGAGTGTAAATCTTTGGCAAAGCTTTGATCATCCAACGGATACATTTCTTTTTATTATAATTTAAGTCGAATATTCACATGCATTCTTGATGTGCTAGCTCTATTTGACGATAAAAAAAATAATACTAAAAATGTTCACATGCATTCTTGATGTACCTGCCAATGCTTTATGACCTATTCACCAATGCTTTATGACCTATTCACCAATATTCTTTCCCCAAAAAGATGTATCATATTATTCTCAACAAGGAAGTCCTTATGCTCTAAGCCATGAATTAGTAAATTACCCATGAAATTTCACACAAGACCTTATCTGGTCACGGAAGTCACACATTCGCCCTTCAATATAATAATACTTTTTAATTAATCTAGATAATTATAAGATAATAATTGTTTAAAATTATTTTAGATATAGACAATATATATTTTGTAAACACAATTATTTAACTTTTAAATCTTCTAATATATAATATTTCATTTTATCACTGAAATTATTCAGTAAATTTCCCATCAATCCAGCAGTTACATGAGAAGAACCGCAAAACTAAAGATAGATCAAAGTCGAAGTCGGACCAATGAAAGCTATGCAAAAGTTTCCTGCTTAAGTAACATTAGAAAATAATGAGGACATCAGCTTCCCCGAAACAGAGATTTTTATTATTTTCCAGCTTTGCATGAATCAGCTCTTACGAAATAAAGAATTCGTGTTCCTTTGCTGTTATACAGAAGGAAAATATAATCCATCCTCTTTCCAAGAAAAAACCTCCTTATTTACCTTATCTATCATCTCCCATGGTTATATAAGCCCCAATGCATCTCAATACATTACAAACGTACTAGTTTCTTTGGAGACACATCATAGTCATTAGCAACACTCAATGGCAGGGGTTGATAAAACAGCACCCGATTTCGAGGACTTATTGCCGGCGATGGCGGAGAAGCTTTGCTGGGACGGGCTGATGAGGGAATTGTGCAATGGTTTCAAGTTGTTGATGGACAAGGACAAAGGGGTGATCACCGCAGCCAGCTTGAAGAGCAACGCCGCAATGCTTGGCTTGCAAGGTTTGAGAGACGATGAGCTCACGAGCATGGTAAGTGAAGGCGATCTCGACGGAGATGGGACTCTCAATGAGATGGAATTTTGTGTGTTGATGTTCAGATTAAGCCCTGGATTGATGGAAGAATCCCGCTCATTGCTCGAAGAAATACTCGAACAAGAGCTCAATAGTTAATACGATGCATCGTTTAGTATTGGTAAAGGAGTCAAATGAAATTCTCTTTTATTGCTAAATGTAACTCTGTTTCTTCCTCCGGTCAACAATTATTATCTTCTCTTTGTGCGTATTCATTACTAGTACCAAATGCTTAATGCAACAACTGCTGAAGAAACTAGCACAAGTCACAATAAAAGTTGCCATAGCCAATGCCATTGATGCTGCAAATCTACATGAAACATCCATTGTTTCGCACATAATTCAAAGGACCTTGATAGGTAAATACAAGCAAATAAGGCTTAGAGAAATTCAATCTTTGCAGTAGATGAAGCCCGGGAAAACCCCATCATTTGTGACCTAATCTTTTGTCTTCGTAGGTAATCTCTGTAGTTGCAGTGTCCCGAGAAAAGGGTCATCTCTTGCAAGACTTTCCCATGCTTCAACAAGAACTTTGCTAGGCTAACTTCATTCTCACATTCTAAGAAGCCGTGGATTTTCACTACACTAAGGTGGCTTAGCAAGGATTTCAAAGCCTGGGTATGGGATTCCCAGAATTGTTCTTCCTCAGAGATAGGCATGTCCCACAAGTCCTTGATCCATTTCTGAAACAGTGAACAAAACAAAGAACAAAGGTGGAACAACCATGTGATTAAATTAAACATGATGTAGAACAAAAAAATAAGATCATAATTTTTGGGCACTTACTCTTCTTTCAATCTTATAATCATTGACGATCCTGAGAATTATAGTGTGTAACGTAGGAGAGCTCTTGAAAAGATAAGCTAAACCGGGGACGTTATGTTTGTTGAAGCATGTTTGCAGCTCCAGAGATTTGAGATGGTTGAATGGATGCATTACGTTCGCAATATAATTCCTGCTTGACAACACCTGCTAGAATGCAAAGTGTTGAAAATCAAACAAGGAAATTGATGCTTGAAAAATGAACACACATCAAATGTCAGTACAAGTGATACCATTACATCCAAAAAGGGCCCCGGGGGGGGGGGGGAACTACAATTGTTCCGCTAATCAAGACGTAAAACTAATAAATGCAACATTAATGATTATTGGTTTTGAGATTTTGGACAAGTTAAGCATTTAATTTTAAGAATATTTTTTAATAATTTCTATTCAGGGGAGAGAAAGAGAGAAGTGATGTGATAGTTAAAAACTTTTAACTACCTGTTTTAGAGATTTGAATATTTGATATTATTATTTAAAAATATTTTTAAGAATATAAAATGTTCTTGAAAATATTAAAATATAAGTATATAAATAAAGACAATTAAATAATTATTCCACATATTTTAGGTGGATAATAGTTAAAATCTTATTTTGAAATGAACTTTGAACTCCAAAGCTACCAATTCAATATTGTTTATGACTTAAAAACTAATTTAGATTGAAAAGTATTTTTAAAAACTAATGTTAAACACATCCTTTGTTGATAGCATTTTCATATACCAATCAACATAAGCAAACCTTAAAACTTCATTAAAAGTATTTAAAAGCTTTAAGTGAAAGGCTTCACTTAGATAATAATCCCTAAATATAAGTTCCACATGGTTTAACTCTAATCTATTAATTGCAGCAACGAATCTAAGAATATTTTTTAAGATAGACATATATATGTTAACAACACAATTTTTTAAATAATATGAACACAAATAAAATTTTAAATGGACACTTTCAATAAAATAAATAGCTAATCGGGAAAAAAATCAGATTTTAGAGTGAGACGTACCCACCATCGAAAAACTGTGAATCTACCATTGATTAACTAGTATTAATTATTATACTTTTAGTATCTTCTATGCAGGACAGAACTAGGATTAATAATCTATTAAATATTTAAATTTAAAAATTGGGAGGAGCAAAAATTTTATTTAACCCATATTTGATTTCTATTTGATTTCTTTGATAAGCTGCATAACTTTCATTATGGGCCCTTTCCAATGCTTTGGTTCGATGAACTACATTATAGAATACTGGTAACTCTAATGCCAGGATGAATTCTTTTAGTCTCGAACGTAAGCCCTCAATAAACTAATCACAACACTCCTGCTCGGTAGGAATTAACTCTGCAGTAAACCGATTTAGCTTATTGAACTCGTACTCGTATTCATATACAGTCCAGTTTCCTTGCTTTAAGTTGAGAAACTCCTACTTTATTTGTTTGATGAACTGGTTCCAGATGTACTTTTTCTTAAATTGACCCTGGAAAATCTACCAAGGAATCTGATCAGGAGGCACACACATGGTAGTATTGGTCCACCACATACGCGTCGGGACTCGAAGTAAAGATATTATACCATTTAATTTTTCTTCATCTGTATAATGGAGACTGTCTAGCATAGTCTTTACATCATATAGCTATGTATCTGCCCCTATCAGGCCCTTAACGGTCTCTCATTTAAATTTTGGAGCTCCCAAGACTGATATCCGAACTTCAAAGGATCTTGTTAAGTCCTTCCTAGAGCAATACAAGCATGCATACGAGATGAGGCCAAATCATGTTATAACACCCTTAACCCATATACGTCCTTGAATACGAGTCAAAGATGTAACATGATCTTTGTAAACATTCTATTAATAAAATCTAGTACAATTTTGTTCCTTTAAAATTTTCAATTTAAAATATTTCAATAAATATCATAATCACATAAAATCCAAATATAATATTTAATGATTCAAATCAATATCAGTTTTAGGTAGCAGTTTAATAGTTCGAAACTATTTATATTATATAGTAAACTGCCTAAAAACTGTCTAACTTAATTTTTTTTTCGATAGTATATAAGATATAACTAATAAACTATTATTCATGTATTATACTAGTTTTTTCTACTAATATTTATATAAGATCCGTGTTATTTATATTATACAAATCAGTTTAAAAGATGATAACCAACAATATAACTCAAAACATAATATGCATGACACTAATAAGTCAAGAGAAATTATCCATACTGATAATGGAGATAGATTTGTTTCAGTTCAGTGATGCACAATATGCACTAATAAGTGGCCACATGTTAATATCAACAATCCGCACTCGAAAGTTCCTATATCAATCGCACCATAGGTGTTACACGTGAAGTACATAAATGTATTGTATCAATAACACTTGAATAATAATCACTCCACCTCATGACATGCCAATTGTACCTACGACTCTCTATGCAACATACAATGAGCTTTACGATAAAAAAATCATATCATTTGTATATTCAATAAGTAACATTTTCAATAATCATCCATCAAAACCATTGCATTGGGCAGTTCATACACTAAAGTAGTTCATAAAAATATTCAATAAACATTATAGAATCATACCATAATTTGATTCAAATCTTTATCTAAAAATCATTTGAGGTTAACTTATCACAAGTCTTCCTCAATCAGTGATAATTAAATAAATAAGGCATAATGCAATAAAATAATCCAAACATTTGACAACGGTGTCAAACTTGCCCGTATTGTTTTTTTTCCGAACATTTGACCTCTCAACGTTTAGTTTAGGGTCAAAACAACCAACAGTGGATGGAAACTGTTAGTCAACTGACAGTCAATGACTGATGCTGACGGGGCACACACACGTGGAGGGACAAGTTGACGTGGATATCCATCTCATGGTGATTGATGATGTGGCACTACCACATCAGATTTAAAAAAAATAAAAATTCAAGTTGTCTGATCCACCTAATTCAAAAGCGGTTGGTGGCAAGTCCATCACATTATTCTAAGTCAGAACACGAATCTAAGACCACCCGAAGAACAGTTGCGACACCTACTAAAGCCTAATGTAACATATGATAATCAAATTAGACTATTTTTGATTGGTAATGATCGAATGTTAATTTTCTACTATACAAGCCCATTATGGGGATATCTTTTCAATCTGGTTTGCTACGCCCATAAGGTCATGATTTGAACTCTTGACATTTATTCAAAGATTTAATAAATCGTCCACTAGATTAATTAATTGCTGGTAATATAAACTTTCTTCAATAACTTTATTGCTATAAATGATAAATAATGTTAATGTTAATTTGTAAAAAAATAATTAATTTCCAAATAATATTATTAAAATAATTATTTTATACTTAAATATATGTTAACTGAGAATTTAAGGTGCAGTTCAACTGATAAAAGGACAAGATGTTATCTCTAAGTGATTCATATTATTTTAATAGTTTAATTGAAAAGTGTGTGATTTTATTTAGATTTAAAATTAGATATACATATTATTTGATAATTAAATTAAAATATCTAAAAATATATGCTAATAAGTTTTTTATAAAATATTTTTGAATGTTTTTAATAAAATATTAACTTGCAAAAGATCAAAAGACGACTTTAAAAAAAATCTAGAACACATTCGGCGCTTTCCGCTATATATCTTGCAGACGATTGCCCTACATAAATATGGTGAAAAATATGCATTATTCAAATTCTAATTTTGTCCGTATAATTCTTAACCTCTACCTAAACTAGTTATCTCCGATTAGCCTGATTATTGAGGATAGTTGTATTATAATTTAATATAAGATTAAAAAAGGTATTATAAAAATATTAATATATTTTTTAATATTTTTGGTAGAATATTATTTAAAATATTATTATTTTTATTTGAAATGTTAATTTCGCTACCTAAAATGAATATTATCGATATTAATATTTTCGGTAAAAAATAACATTTTAAATAACGTTTTAATAAAAATATTAAAAAATATTTAGGTGAAAAGCGTTTTAAATAACGCTTTCCTTAACTCTATATTAAATACTAGGCACACGTGAAATGCGTTGGAGAAGCTGCGATGTTTAGGTGAGGTGACGGCTATAATAATTCCATGTTTGAAGCAGTGAGAGTGGGGGGGGGGAAATGATCACGTGCGGCGTTTCCAATGAAGACTCCATGTTTCCAATGTTCCATGTCCATGCATCAAAATGAGGTTCATATGTCCATGGAATTGTTCGGTCTTGATCATGTTATATCTAGTCATGACCCCATAATC